ACGATGAATGGAAAAATCTCTAATACTCAGCGATCGGCGCGTTGACTTGCGCCGCATCCCTGGGAAGAGCACGAAGGCCGATTTATCCACTGATAGAGACTGGCCATGTGTCGACAAATGGCGTTTAGTGAATGAAACGGCGCCATTTGCTATCAGGGCCAGACGTTTGTGTCGGTACCCTGGGATCCAGATTTATTTAGTTTATTTATTATAAATACCTGCAGCGCCCCAGAGCATTATTGCAGGGGGGAAATAAACATTGTAAAATACGCTTACTTAAAGATAACTATTCGAAAACAAGATGGTCACAAAAAAAGATTCTTAAAAAGGCAGCTATGACAGTAGCATTTTGTTTCGGAAAGATGTTTCAGTTCGCCAGTCTGCAACCTCCTGTGGGAGCCGATTTCACTGGGTGATTGTGAGCGGAAAAAAGGAAATTTGATAAATGTTTCTTCTGCAAAAAGTTTCCCCTTATTCTAAGGATGGTCAGTTCTCTTAGAGGAAAAAAGGTACGTTTCTTTATCTATTTTGTGCAGATATAATCGCCATGGATTCATATTTTAACTGCTTTCAGAACTACTTTCAGGGTGCCAGGAAGGCTAGCCATGGCAGCGTTAAAAACCAAGGAAGATAGGACACTTCCTTGCGGAACGGGAGGGAAACACTTTGCTCTTAACTTATGACATTTCCAAGCTTAATCCGAACTAGCCGGTCTCCAAACATTTCGTGTACGAAACGAAGAGCATTTCCCGAAACACGAATGACTGGGAGGTCGTTGACAATGCCTGTTTGAAGCACACAGTTATATGCTTTGGCAACGTCTATTAAGACGGCGAGTGTAGAAAAGCCGCTGACACGGTAGTGCTCGATGTGGCTCAGCAGGTCCAAAATAATGTCCTGGTTTAGAGAAATTTATTCTCACAGACAGTGAACATCAATTACAATTCAACAGAACATTGCGACAGAACACAACATCCACAGACACACCAAAATAATGTCCTGGGCGCTCAGCTGTGGGCGAAATTCCGTCATACACGCAGGTGTCTTCCTTTTTGTGGAAGGTACCAAGTTAGTCTTGTGCATATGAGTCTTTCCATCAACTTATATGCGCATGATGTTAGCAATATTGGTCGATATGAGGTGAGGCTCGCAGGATCTTTTCCGCGCTTCAGCGCTTGCACCACCCATGCTGTCTTCCATACAAATAGAATCTCTCCTGTGCTCCAGACATAATTAAATATGCTCAAAAGGGCGCACCTTTGATCATACGGCATGTTTGTCAGCATCTGATTGCTGATCATATCGGAACCCACAGCACAGCGTCTTTTTATTTGCCAAGCGCCATACCCAGCTATCGAAATGTGAACGGTGTATCCATTGTTTGGGATATTTGAGCTATGGGATATTTGAGGTTGTATGTGATATTTGAGCAAAGGTATCACCACTCCAGCTGATCTGCCAGCTGTGTATACGTCTGCGACATCTTCTGCAAGGCTTTGCAAATCTTTACATTGTTTCAAAGCGAGGGCTTCGAATGGTCTGTGAGAGTGATATTTCTATAAGGACTATTCATGACTCCATATTTTTGTCAATGTTGTATATGGCGATAAACATTCAGAGAAAGCAGCCCATTCAATTCCGCGTATTTTTTCCTGCAGCGACGAACAGCAGCATTTATCCGATTATAATCAGTTTTCGCCGAAAGGTTTTTTCTGTTTTCTTCAATGATGTTCCTGCTCCGACTCTCCTACGTGCTGCGCTCAGGTTCTTTAACTTCAAGTCAGGAGCAGGGAAATGATCCGGCAATTTCAGTAACGAAAAAGCCGCTCGCTTACTTCGTAACATGTCTGCAAACAGCTCACCAGAGGATTCGTCTAGCGCTGTTCTGTACGTGTCCTAGTCAGTCACATTGCAGCAATGTCGACCAGCGGTACGAAATCTGGTTATAATGCTGAATATGGGGAAATGGTCTCTACGCATTCTGTCTGGGGTCATCGCCGATAATACCAGAAGGTCCGAGGAGTGTAGTACAAGGTCTATCACACTCCATGAATATGGTCGCCGAAAAAATGTTGGTTTGCCATCATTCGCTACGCATAAGTCCGCAGCATCTGCTGCCGCTAAATGTTCTTGACCTCGGCAGTAAGCATTATTATCTCCCAAAAGTGGGTGTGTGCGTTAAAGCCACCACAAATTAATTGAGGAGCGGGACACCGAGTGCAAGTATGATTTAGGAGAGCCGCCATGGAGACCTTCTTGTGTGGACTTATGTAAACCGACATTACACACAGTTTTTGGTTTTATATGCGCACTTGCACCGCAGCGACTTCCAGTGAGTTGGAACAGAGGTCTTGCACTGGTAATGCGACGCGAGTTACTACCCACCTTATGTATATCGTGGCGCTTCCATTTGTAAAGGATATTTGTCACGCATTGCAATGTCGGATATATCATGTGAGCGTCCTTCCATTTGGGAGGCCAGCTTCCGAGAGGGCTAAAATCGGTATTGGAATGTCTTGCAAGAATAAGTTAAGTTCACACAGACGCTCCAGAAGATCAGCACCGACCCATTGCATTATTAAGGGCACTTTTGAGAAACAAAACGGGCCAAATGGGTGAGATTTTGCCATTATTATACTATCTATACGTGGAAGCAGAGTACGGTATAACTTACTCGAGAGCCAGTAGCGCTTTCAACATATCCTTCATAGAACTCACTGGCATCTTTGGGACGGGTGAGCGTAATCTCGTGAACAAAACTCGAATAACATGCTCGATGTTATCCAGCAGATTGCTTTCAGTTGCTTTAGATCGGTTCAATGCAGCCCCATAGGTGCGCTTGGTGGACTCTGGCACACGTTAGTTAGCAACAGTAATCAATTTCGTTGGCTCAGTTACGTCTCTTGTCAGTTTCATGCGCGGAAAACTTTCCCCGTGGTTGTTATCTAAGCCACTAGATTGCAGCGCGTTGGTCGTCTTCCTTGTGCTCGATGGGTCGTTTGCAGCCTTCGAGCCGAAGACAAATGTCTTATTTCTTCACTGAGCGGCTGTCTGTGGTGGATACCGGCCATAGCTAGATGGATGATCACCGCTGCAGTTATCACACACAGGATTTTGTTTACTTGTACACGTCTTGAAGGCATGAGCACCCCCACAGCACTTGCACCTCTGTTTTTCACGCAATGCTTAGCGACATGCCCGAAATGCTGACATTTGAAACGAGGTGACGGTGTCTCCACGTGTTCTATCAACTCATGTCTGGTAAAATGAAGGTTGATCTTGTCTGGGTGTTCCAAATTGGGCAGTTAGTGTGAGGACCACAGAGCCAGTACGCCTAGATACCCATTCAGAGGACGAGGTTTGGATCCGACGGATTATTCTTTCTGCGTGGTATACTCCCTGAGGTTTCAGGTAGGTTCGCAACCATTTGTCCGAGTACCATCTTCGGACTCCTCTTATGGCACACATATTCATCATATAACTATGGGGTACACGGGCAGATATGACTATTCCACAGATATTCCACCACCACCACCACCTCCGCCACGCCTATGCGGATGACCGCAGGTCAATAAGAGTAACTCCCCGGATTCTCAGAGAAGGCAAACGCATGACGGGGTACAGAAAGTTAGGTGAGCTAATGAAAATAAAAATTCTGTGGGTAAAACGTGCCAGCAGCAAGCAAAAACTGGGTTTATTGCACAAAATGGAAGAGGCCTATGTCTTGCAGCGAGCGTAATCAGGCTTATGACGATGACAGTATTGTTGATGTAAATGCTGTGTTCACGCTTCGCGATGTCAACTTGTTGCTGTCTTAACATTAACGGTACTCGCATTTACATTCTTTGTTCTTGTGTGCGCCTATATTTTTGTTTTGTCTCTTTTATTGAAAATACGAGTATGAGTGTGGTAGTATATGTATAAGAACGCAAGCAACTGAGGAATATTTATCCTAATTGCTCACTTTTACATAACATTCCGCTGCGCTTGAACTACTCCCGTTGGAAATTACTGCGCAGTGCCTTTAGAGGTCTTTGTTTGGTCACTGTTGTCCATAATTGTTATTGAGCAAACTGCCATTTGAAGACTTCAATGAATCATTGGCATAAAAATGAACCTGAATATATAACGTACCCTCAAGATTTTATTGCGTTAGGGTGATTACTGTATCTACCTAATTAGGCATTGTATTTGAAAACGTTCCTCCTTCTGCTTCTCTGAACAAATTATTCCGCCAAAATGACTGTTCATTCGAGTCAAGGCGCCCTGCGTGCCAGCCCAGTATTCCACCACTAAGCCACGTCTGTGCTTCAAAGACTGTAGAGACATCAGATCTTTCTACCTATGTATACTGATCTAAAAAAATGGAATCAGTGCACACTGGGGTCAAACGCCCGCCGAAATCACACCTTTTCTTGAAAAGTGACAACACGCCAAGGCATTGCGAGAAAAGCAAACTTCGGCAGAATACCTTGGCGGGAATCAACACTTTAACGTATGCTGGTATTCAAAATGGTAGTATCAGAACTGCAATAAAAGACCGATATCAGCTCTTACTCTTTTTGGTTAATAGTTAGTTGCCACATACTTAGTGCTAATATTTATTCAATAAACAAGTTTAGTCATTGTATAAAGTCGCGCCTTCCACACCAGCACGCAAAAACCGTAATGATCCTACCGAATAGCATGCGTGCATCCTTGAAAACATTTGTGTACATACAGGCCACCTTATCGAAAATAGTGACGCAACCTTTTCTTCCTAAAGGTTTCAATAATAATAAGACCAAAAACGAAGCAGCAACAGCAAAAAACTTTGGGTCTGTTTTTTCGTGTCTCAACAAAAAATAACGTAATACCGGTATACATTATATTCATTTCTGCTTTTTACACATGATAAACACTTCTAGCTCTCCTTGAAGAGAAATGTCCAGCCTTACCATTCTGTTTTTCTACTTTTTTCCCTATTCTCATGTAATAGTGTTTTTGTTTTCATTATTTACCTTCATGCTGAGTGCCGCCGCTGTTCTGATAACTTTTTCAGCGTACTTCTGTTCAGTGAGAATATGCGTACTCTCGCTATCTTCACACTGATAGCGCAGCTCATCTGCAAAAAAAGTATGTCAAATCAGCAATGATGTTTTCCCCTAGTAAAAATACGGGAGTGTTAGTACATACTTTTTTTCCCTAAAGATAACCGTAATATTGATTGTTGTACTGACTAATATTCACCTTTTCCGAACAATCTTGCAATCAAGATCTCCAAAGAGATGTCCACAACAGTGATGTTAACCATCATAATTCAATGAGGGTCACACTGACATTGAACAGAAGCATGTTGCTGTAAATTTTGCATTGGATTGGTACATTGGACTATGTGGCTGCATGCGGGGAAATTATGATATTCAGGTGAAGGAGGAGGACAAGAACAACGAGAGAAGGCAGGGAGGTTAACAAAAACATGTCCGGTTTGCTACCCTATGCTGGGAGACTGGAAAAGAAGAATATAAAACTGATAGAGGTGGACAAATAAAAGAGAAAGAGACAAAAAACATTCTCAGTCAATGGGCTGACACGTATACAGCGGTGACACTACACAAAAGGTAATGGTGTTCCCATAGGCTTGTAGTCTTCAAAAAAGCACAAGACGGCTTTGACTGACTTTCGAGCCGACGAAGGATGAGGACGGCGCTCCAGTAGCATCTGAATAGAGAGTGGCTGATAGCCCAATTGTCGCAATGTGTCAGAAAGCTTCTGTCTTTCAGTGGTAAATCGAGGGCAACGGCATAGCAAATGGTCGATGTCTTCTTCGGTGCCGCTGTCGTCGCATTCCGCATTGTCGGTCAATCTTATAGGGGTTGTATACGCTTTTGTGAAGGCATCCCCAAAACAAAGGCGACAAAAAAGCGAAGCTTCACATGGACAAAGTCAGGATGAAGGTCGAAGTTGCAGTCGAGGGTTTATTTGGTAGAGTCCCATATGTCTTATGCTTGGGGTGTTCCACTCAAATAGACACAGACTACGTGCCAGGTGATGAAGTTCCTTTGCAGCGTCTGTCCTTGACAAAGGAATCTGAAGGATGTGCTCTTCTTGGTGGGAAGTGTGAGCCGCGTTGTCTGCGGAATAACTGCCCCCGATCCCACATTGACCAGGTAGCCGCTGAAAATTGACCTCTTGGCCTGTTTCTGTGACGTGGTGAAGAAGCTTGACAACCTCGTATGTTAACTGTTCGTGGCAACCTCGTCGAAGGACTCACCGCATGCTCTGGAATGCCGGTTTTGAGTCGGAAAACAGAGCCCATTTACTCAATCTTTGAGATTTGATGTACTCTAGGGCTTGACGCAAAGCCACAAGTTCTGCTTCCGTAGACATAGTGACACGTGACAGTTTGATTCGCAGAGTGATTCCTCTAGCTGGATTTACCACTACACCGTCAGAACCAAACACTGTGGTTAAACTATCGGTTTATATGTGCCCGTGGTTATTATACATTTCGTGCAACAGGTGCAAGCTCAATAATTTTAGAGCTGGCGAAGAAGAATTCCTGGAATCGAAAGGCGGACTTGAGGAAGTGTCAGTCACCACGGAGAATACACCAATTTCTCCACAGGCGTAATACCTGTTGTAAACGATGCACGATGCACACAGGCAATTGCACTATATTTAGTGCGGGGCCTTTCAGTAGCGAGGAGTGCCAAGTGGTAACAAGGATTCCTAGCATAATCCCTTAGGTACAAACGCATCGTTCGAAATGTGATGTGAGTCATAATCGAGTAGTTCTGTGCAATGGCAATGATTTCAGATGTCGATGCACAGTTGGGTCAACCAAGGCACAATCTAAGAGCCTGGCCTTGAATATTTTGAAGTGTGCGCAGGCTAGTTTTGATCGTGTTAGATATAACTGGTAGGCTGTACCACGAGAATCCAATAAATAATTCTTTGTGCAGCTGTAACATATGCTCGACAGACACTCCACAACTTTTTCCGGCAAGGAACCTGAACAAGTGACAAATGAAGGTCAGCCACTTTTTCACGTAGTTTACATGTGGGGTTCAAGACAGGTTTCAGTCGATCGTGACTACCAAGAAGCTGTGACTCCGCCTGCACGCCACAAATTGGCCGTTAATTGTTATGCCGTAAGTGAAAATGGCCTTTCTGGTGAAAGCCATGACTGCACACTTTCCACTTGCGATTTCAAGCCTTTGTTTACGTAGGGGGTGCGACGTCACTGATGCTGCTTTCTGAAGTCGAGCGGGAAGTTAAAGTAGAGTCACACCTCATGTCCACACACAGATGTCATCAGCCTAAATGGAAAGTCGTACGCTGCTTGGTTGCTTGCCAACTAGTCCAATTAGTGTTAGGTTGAACAACGTCGGGCTTAGCACTCCGCCTTGCGGGACTACTCGGCTACAGTAATACTGAGGTGTCGGGCCGTTCTCTGTCTACACGTGAAATGAGCTATTGTGTAGGTAGCTCTGAACCTACATATATATCTTATCACCGAGTCATACCCATTTTAATGTGTTGAGAATGGCTTAGTGGGTGACATTGTTGTAAGCCCCTTTAACGTCAAGAAACAGATCAGCAGATAACCATTTGCAGGTCTTCTGATGCTCTACACATGTGACCAAGCCGACTACTTCGTCAATTGATGAGCAGCCACGTCCAACCAAGTAATGAGATCTGGATATATTTCGTAGAGCTCTGAGTACCATTCCAGACGCATTAAAATAATTCTTTCCATAACTTTTTCCACATTGCTCGCGAGGGCGATCAGGCGGTAAGAATAAATTTTCAAAGGTTACTTGCCGACATTGAGTAGCGGAATCAGGCGACTTGACTTCCATTCCTTTGAAACCAAGCCAGTTTGCCAAGAGTCGTTGTATAGCAGCAAGAGTGCCTTCTGAGCTTGATCTCCTAGGTGACACAGAGCGCGGTAGGTGATGCCTTAAGGTCCTGAAGCTGTGAAAAGTCTACAGAAAGCAAGCGCAGCATTTAGTCCATCCATTGAAAATGAACACTCTATTCGGGGTCACGTGAGGATACAGAACACTTGGGCGTCTTTATCCAAGTGGAATTTGCCCCACAGGCAATCCTTCGACAGAAAGATTCTGCGACGTCAATCCTTAGCAGCGTAAGTGAAGTGCCAGAGATTTGAATGGGTAGCGCTGAGCAATGGTTGTACGAAGACCCCGGACAGTTCCCTAGATTAGTGACGAAGGCTTTCTAGGATCCAAAGACTCGCAAAAAGATACCCATCGTCGCTTATTCATCTTGTTCATGTGACGCTGTAATTTCTTTTGTGTGCGTCTGATAACTCTCAGATAATCCAATGACTTCGTGCGTCTCTAAAGTCGTTCTTCACGACAACGAATCGCTTGAAGTTTCTCGAGTTGCAATGTCCATATCACTGCGAGATGAGCTCACCAGAAACGAGCGCGTGGTTGAATATAGGGCATTTTTGATTGCGTCCTCTAAGTTGAAGGGTGAACCGCCCACATAGTCTTCCGTTATTAACTTCTATTTGCGCCAACCGGTGCACTGGCGGCTCTGGAGTACTTTAAACTTGGAAAACCGTCAATCTTCAGGTATGTTGGGATGTGGTCACTACCCTTTTGTTTGCTAATCCGAAAACTTGTGCACTCGACTGGTGAACGAGCGTGAGACGAAAGCGAGGTCCCGGCAAATGCTATAGGCTGATCCACGCAGATAAGTAGGGCTCCGGTCATTCCCGAGGATAAGTTCACATTCAGAAGCAAAATACACTAACTGTATACCTGTAGCGTTGACCCTGCAGCTTCCCCATAAGTACTGGTGGGCACTGGAGTTGCCAGTTATCACCCATGGCTGGAGAGCTGAATTCAAAATTCCAAGTAAATGCTCGCAGTCTAGATGACTTGATGGGGGTAAGTAGGCTCCAGTGATTGTGATTGTGGTCTTCTTTTTTTACTGTTAGGCTAACTTACTGTTTTTCTCCGTCAGGGGAAACAGGGTGGTTACAATAAGTTAAGTCACACCTTATGAACACAACAACCTTGCTGCGCTTTCCGTGGGTAGATGACATCAAGCACTCATATCCAGACAGTCTGATATGAGCTGACAAACTCGGTTCACAAATGACCATTCTGGAGAACAAGTTGGTGAATACATATTGCCGGAAGTCCGACATGTGGGCCATAAGCCCTATGGCATTCAACTGAAGGACAGATGCATTCTTGACCTCCTCACGAAAGGATAACATGTCGCGGGCCGTAGTTTTACCGTATAACTGCAAGCAGTGGACTCAAAGTGACTTGCACCTGCATTGTGCTCTGCGCTGACGGGGTGGTAATTTTGCTTAGGAGCATGCGCATTGCGCTCATCAGGGTCTAAAACATGTTAATAACCTGGCTATCCTCAGTTCTCTTTGCATCAGCGTTTCGTGAGGGCATCGAGATTGGTGGGATTCAATGCACCTCTGAGTCAGGCTTTGTTCGTGGAATGGAGGGCTACTCTTCACGAGGGGGGAGTGTTGACCCTGCTTTTGTTTTTGGTGTATCCGTCTTCGCAGAGCTTGATGATGGGTGGTCAGTTGTTTTTTCGGGAGATGGCGTGTCTCTATCAGTAGATGTCACTTTCGTGATGATCTGTGGTGATGCCGACATCACCTGACAGTAGCAGCAGTTTCTCTGTGCGATGCATTGTCGCACACCATGCATTTTATTTCGCACAGGCGGACAATCTTCAGATGACCCTTTATGAGCGCCGGAGCAGTTGGAGCACTTGAACGCAGTTGCGTGGCCAGTGTCTTCTGAATGAGATTCGGCACACCGCAGGCACACAACATTGCCGGTACATACTCCTTTTACTCGTCCCACCTTGAAACATCTGCAGCATTGTAGGGGCCTTAGTATGTGTAAACGGACTCGGTGGCGAACGTGGCCAGCTTTGACGTGTGGTGGAAGACTGTCTCCCTAAAAATAATCTGCAGACAACGTAGCTGACTGAGCCTTGTGATGTGCTTGATGAGGATGTCGTCTTGTTATGGCTTTATCAAGATAGGGAAATTGTCAGCGGGGATGGAAATGTCCTCGTCAAAAATGACGCCAACACTGCCTTTCCAGTCAG